CCAAATGAGTCTCTGCTCTGCCCTCATGCTGATGACTCCAGTCCTGGTCCCAAAGCCCTAGAGGGAAGCAAATACGTGTTTGGATTTTTTATGTGTTCAAGTTTTTAACCTTACAGCCTTTCTGATGGCTTGGGATAGAGGTCACATGAGTGGTGGTGCTATTTAGAGTAGGAGTTTTGCATATTTAAGTGCAACTTTAACCTCATGTTTTTCACAATGAAGTCTAACTATTACTGTGGTAATATTCCATTATTATTGAGGTTTAAACAGCAGAGTTTTGGGCTTTCACTGTGAAACTGATTTCCATAATGAGTGAAAGATTGGTAGAATATTTAATAATCCCACCCAATTCACTGGAGGTTAATTTGAACAGATATCAGAACAGAAATCTTTATTCCTTTTGAATTAAATCTCCAGATGTTTTGATGCTACACTTTCACATTTCTCATGTGCAAATAATAAACAATTATTTTTAGGTAGGCATTTTCTAACAAGAATAAAATGGGTTATCAGACTGCTCAGCTTTGCCAGGTGCTGCTGGGCACAACTGTGGTTTGAGATGTAAGAAAGTTACAAAAGTACATTTATACCTTAAAAAACAACCAAGCAACAAATTCTCCTATTTTAATGAAGTCCTACATTAATGCTTATTTGTACTTTCATCTAAGTCAGTGCTACCTATGTAGAACTTGAGAACATCTCCTGCATATCTGTCTCCAGGATTCCTTCCCCTGCAGACCCATTTCATAAGGTAGGTATTGGATGTCTGAAGCTTCCAAAGTGCTTTGCAGACATATAATCATTTCTGCCTCTGTGACATAAGTAATGCTAATATGGGGAACCAAGGCAGAAGCTTGCCTAAGGTCAGGCAAAGATCATTCAAAAATTGAGAGTAAAGCTTCTGCTCTTGGCTCAGACTTGTGTGTTCTCTGAGTAGATCACAGTATCTTTCAAAATAGCTTCCCTTCCACCACCCTTAGAAATGTGTGCTCTGGCTTTTGTCAGTAGCAGCCTGCATCTGCAGCAAAAAAACAAACAAACAGCCCAACAAAAACCAGTGCAGCTGGAGACTGAAACATCTTCAGACAGCTGTACCCAATTCCTGACAAGATTGCTGTGGTTTGGTGGTGTCCTGCTCTGAGACACACCCACTGGATAGCAGGTAAAGCAATCTGTGATCAGGTACCGAGGCTGGAATGCTGCAGCCAGGGAAGGAGCTGAGGGATGATCCATGGGGACCTTTGCTGCAGTGGGACAGTGTGAACACAGCTCTCCGTCAGCACTTCAAAACTGAGAAAACTGGAAAGGCACTGGGCAGTTCTTGTCCAAAAGGGACACAAAAAATCATGCCATTAAGAGGACTCAGTGTGTGAAATTTCTTAAGTCGCTGATTGCCGAGAGTATTTAGAGATAATCTCTTAATGCTTCTCCCCAGTAAACAATAGGACCCAGACTGCCCTCCCGAGGCCTCTGGCCTTTTATTACAGCCCACACAAAAACCCATCTGAGAAAGCACTCGGACTTAGTGGAGCAAAGTGTGAACCAGTCTGAACCAGTTCAAATATCGCATATGGTTGTTTTGCTTCTGCAGACTTCCTTGTTAGTCCTTGGAGGCTGTGGCTGGCATTTACTTTGCAATAGCTCCCGCTGTCAGACTGAAGGGGAGGAGAAAGGAGGAGAAAGCCTCTCCCTCTCCCCGAGCATGGCAGCAGCGCCGTGCAGCAGTGCCAGCAGACACTCCTGTCGCTCCACAGCGACTCCTCTGTAGTCACTGCCTCTGCCTTGATTTTTGGTTGTACTCGGCTCAGTTTGATAAAGTCAATATCTGATCCTTTTGTTACAGCCCTGATGCTCTTTTATTACATTCGAATTATATCTAGCTTAGAAATGAAACACATTTGTTTCCAATTCCTGCATCATTGCTTACAGAAAGCTTTTTGCAGGTGAGACCCAGAGTTGTTTTCATGATCAAGAGAGAGGCAGCAAAGAAATAAAACCCCTGCTTTTGTTGGAGTTGCAAGTGCTCAAGCACTTAATAGTATTTTGTAACATTTGATGCTTGCAGCTTTTTAAGCTTAAGCACAAACTGCTCTAATATTCTGTTCATGGTGAGGTCTCAGAATAGTACTGTCGTTATTCTAAACATTTTCATTTATGAAAGAAGCAGAAAATTGAGGAAAAGGAGTTTTGGGGAAAACTGGAACAATTATTTTGATTATCTAGGAATAAGAAAGGGGAGCTGATGGGAGCGTGACGTGTGTCCCGTCACAAGGAGGGCAACGGTCAACTTTTTCCATTTTAAGTAAGCCATGTTAATTTGGCTAGGAAAGATTACTCAGATTAGAAAACTCATTTTGTTTACTCCCCTCAGTGTCTTATTTAGTAAGATTAAGTAATACAGCATGTTAGTTCTTGCCCAGGAGGTTAGATGAACTTCTCCTGGCGAGATCAGAACACGCTTGGCTGTGACCAGAGAAGGAGGGTGGGTTTGATGGCTCCTTGCAGAGTCACTTCAGAGCTGTAGATCTGGGGCTGCCTCCCTTGGCACAGAGGGCTGTGCTGTTAGATTCCTTTTTTTTTTCTTTTTTTTTTTTTTTAAATCTCAAAACACTTTGAATTTTTCCACAGGTGAAAATGTAGGACAAATAAACAAGAAAGAGCAGCTGACAGACAGGAGAGAGAGAAAGCAGACATTGTTCACTGTGGAACCTGTATAAAGAAAGGTACCAGCTCACAACTGGTTCACACTGAGTTTAGAGAAGATGTTTAATGTCCCTCATTCCTAAAAATAGCGTGTATTTTCTCCTGTAAAACGTGGGGATGTGTTGTGATATATGTATGTGTATATACCAACAGACATCTAAGTGTGAACTATGTGAGGAAGTAGCTGCAAAGCTATTAACTTATTATAGCTTGGGTAGTTTAAAATCAAGTCCTAGGAAATAATGCCATGTTTAATCTCTAAAAGTGTAGCAAGAAGAGCAAGCCCATTCCTAAGCAGTGGAAAGAGCAATTGAGTCTGCCTCTGACAGCTGCCACCTGGCATCCTATTAAACTTTGTGAAACTGCCAGGCATAAATCTTCCCTCATCCTGGAGAAAGCTAGAGATGAAAGAAAAAATTATGCTTAGAAGTCAGTTGTGGAAAAGTCTTTGATCTTTACCATTACTGTGAAGATTTTTGCATTTCTTCCAGATTCCCCATTGTCCTTCTGTGGACTAGAAACTCAAATAGTTTGCTGGAACTTGGCTGCGTGTAAGGAGAAGTGCAAATTTATCTTGTTACATAGTAGGAGAGAGAACTAGGAAGGCCTGGGATTTGTTTCCACAGAGATTCCTGCAGTTCTTGGATCGGTATGCACAGAAGGAGGTGCTCTCTCTGCTAGGTGGCATGGAGGCATTAGTTAGTCTCATGAAATGAGCAAAAGGACATTAATTGTGCAGGCTGGCAGTCCATCTGCAAAGTTTTGGACAGGCATGTGTGGCCCTGCAGTTTCTGCTGAATGGAATTTGTCTCATAAAATCTGATGAAAAGCTATTACAAACAGGCAGCTTGATTGAATAGCCCTTATTAAAAATTCCTGCTGACTCCAGTTAGCCTTCCCTTTAGAGAGAGTAACTGGAGAACATGAGGAATGCAGTAGCAGGGTGTCTCTGCAGAAAATGAGTATAATTGCACAAAGGCTGCATCTTAGCTGGTGATGTCAGTCAGGACTGGCACATACAGTTGGTTTTTGGTTTCCTGTTTTGATTTTTTTTTCACCCATATTTTTTTTAAATCTGACATTACTAAACTAAATTTTCTGTAGTGGTAAATCGTGTTGTTAAAGCTTCAGTCACACAAATGTGTGCTAAGACCTGTGGTTTCATACTTGGTGGTAGTGCTGCTTAATGTACCTGCATCTATCATGCTGGTACATCTCTGGTTTTGTGCTCCATTGTGGACTGGATGCAGCGGGTGACCTGGCTGTAAAGGGCTTGAAATGTTCATGACCTGGTGAAAAAGGGGCAAAAGTTGGGCTGGATCAGAACCTTGGGCAGGTTTGTTACACAATAACCTGTAGCCGCCTGACAGAGAGCACTGCCAGGATGGAAACATCTGGGAATGGAAGGGAAAGACCACTGCTGCAGCCAGCACTGCCTTGAAAAGTGATTTATCCAACACTGGAGCAGCTTCCTGGCATAGAAATACTTCTTGTGTTCAGTGGTTTCCATGTGATTTCAAAGAACTTTAAAAGAAGGGAACTTCCCTGTCCTATTCTAAGAAGGAAGGTTTGATTGTACCTCATGTAACAAAAAGGAAGGGAAAGTGCAAAGAAGCGAGGCAGGCGGGTTGGCCAAGGTCAGGAAGAACTCTGTGGGAAAGCCAGAAATAGCACCTTGAGCTGCAGGCCTGTGCCTTGGCTACAAACCCCTCAGTTGGCCCAGGCTGCCTCTGCAAGCTCATTGTTGAACAGGACCAGCTATTCAGTGGCTTGTTTTTCACTGGTGTAGAACAGAAGCAATGCTGAGGACTCCAGATGCCGTGTCCAGGCACTGGGGCTGCACTGTCTGAGTCCCTTGGCATGTCCAGAAACAGAAGTATCTATTGTGAGCTGTGTGAAATGTCTGCAGAGAGGCTTTATCACAGAGGCTGCATGCCTGCAGTAGAACGACTCTAAACCATCTTCGTGCTGTTTACCTTGGTTTTTCCTATAAGCAGGCGCAGCTTTTAGAGTAAGCCCATGGAGTCAATGAAAAGTAATGGATTGGCAGAGGCGAGGATGTAAAAAGCCCTTTAAGGTGGAGTTGCACAGCCTCCGCAGCAGTGTGTAGCCCCTACAACATATCTTTACAGCTAAGGGAACCCAAAGGGAGAATAAGGGCAGCAGGATTTAGTCCTTCATGATAATTCTCTAGGGGAGAGAACAGTTTTGGGTCTCCGAAGATAAACACTTTTCCTGCCACAGGCAGTTGTTCAAGCGCAGTTCCGTGTGGAAAGTCTCCTCTTCTGGTCTAAGACTTTTCCTGCGACTGCAGGAGACAAGCCCAGAGACGCGGAGTTCCCCTCGAGCCAAACAGCCCCACGGCACCGCGCACCCATCGGGGCGAGGGACCCTGTGCGGCAGCAGCTTCGCTCTGCCCCGAGCCCTGCCCCGAGCCCGAGCCCTGCCCCGCGGCAGCCGCCCCTTCCCGTGCTGGGGGCGGGCGGCGGCAGCGGCAGCGTTAGGACCCGGCGGCGGCTGCGGGGCGGGGGGGGAAGCGCAGCCCGGCGGTTGTTTACGGGGAGGGAGCGCCGGGCAGGTCTCGCCGAGCGGAGCCGAGCCGAGCTGCGCGGCCGGGCTGCCGGCGGCTCCTCGCCCTCCGCGCCGAGGATGCTGCCCGGGGGTCCGCGGTGGGCGCTGCTGCTGCTGCTGGGCTCGCTGCTGCTGCTGGGGGCCGCCCGCAGCGCCGAGGGTGAGTGAGTGAGTGGCGGCCCGGCTTTGTGGGGGACAAAGGCCGCTCTGAAGAGGGGGAACACCCCCGTGGGACAGCGGGGGCCGTGCTGGGAGCTGCCCGGAGCGGCGGGGGCTGCCCGGGCCGCCCGCAAGGCTCGGCTCGTCTCTCCGCAGAATGCGTCCGCGGTAACGGCGAGTCCTACCGCGGCAGCCGGCGAGTGGCCTCCGGCGGCGCCCCGTGCCTCAACTGGCGGATGGTGCGGAACGGTACCGGCGCCGCGCTCCCGGCAGGTGGGTCCGGGGCCGGGAGGGGCTCTCGGGGGAGCGGGGGGTGCCGCGGCCGCGCTGACGGCCCGCTGCTCCCTAGCGCTCGATGAGGACCACAGCAGCTGCAGGAACCCGGACGGCGACGCCGCGCCCTGGTGCTACATCCAAGGCGCTACCGGGATCCCCGAGCGGCGATCCTGCGACATCGCCCGGTGCTCAGGTAAGAGCGGCCGCCGCCGGTCCCCCTCTCTTCCTGCCCTCCCTGGCCTGCCCCCTACCGCCGGGGCTCGGTTTGTCACCAGGGTGGGGTCCCCGCTCACAAACAACCCCGGGCTACGCCAGCACCTCCCTCGGAAACACCACGTACCCAGAGCTGCCTCCAGCCCCCGCCTGTGCGTGCACATCTGCCTCCCAGCTATGCCGTGCTCCGCCCCTCCGGCTTTGCCATTAATGCCAGAAAAGGCCTGTGAAAAACCCCCACTCCCCATAATTCGCTTATCACTGCAGCGCTCTCCAGCTGTGTTGCAAAGGGCTGAGGTCTGGACATCCAGGAGCTGCCGAGGTGTGGGTAGACTGCTGCTGTGGGGCATGTTATGGCTGACTAAAGAAGCTTCCTGCTGTTAAAGAATTGCCAGTGGGAATTTGAGTACAGGGTGTACAGCAAGAATGTGGAAAAAATGAGAACTAGAAGGGAGGACAGTAAGAAATGGAAACACTGGATGCCTCCTGGATAGTCACAGTGAGAAACAGTTTGCCAAAAGAACTGTAGCTGAAGCCTGTTTTGGGGAGAGGAGGTGTCAGTGTTGACTGACATCAGAGCAACCACTGAGGGTTTCTTGAACTGTTTACTACTTTCTGAGCCCTGCAAGATTTACTTGCACCACTGTTCCTTGAGACTGCCATCCTTGCAAGTAAATACTTTTCCCACGCACATACACCCTCCCTTTTTTTTCACTTTGCTCTTTTTTTGCCTGCTTTTCCCTAAGGTGAAGCAAAAAAAATGTTCTGCTGCCAAGATCCTTCCTCAAAACACTCTCGCAGCTTTAGGATCAGAAGAGTTACCTGGCATTTCAGCCCTTTGCAGGTTTAATAGGTTTCATATTTTTGTGTCTCAGAGCAGGCACCATTTCATGGTTCAACAGTTCACTTTAGTTCAGTTGCCCTGGCTGACCCTACTTGAAGTTACTGTGCAGGACCCCTGATTTCCTGTCTCTGACTCTCTTCTGTACTTCCATTTCACATTGCACTGAGGACTCAAAATGGCTGCAGATAGAAAATCCACAGGGAGTTATTGCCTGCTGTGGGGGGAGATGCAGGTGGAGTGATTTTTCACGTGTTGATGCATACTGTGAACAGCATTTCCAAAAAGGAAGGGAGATTGTGTAGAAATGGTAGTAGATACCTACTTTACACTGTCACAGCTTTTACAGTGCTGCAGCTTCCATTTAAACTATGTCATGAAAGAAGGAGCTACCTTGAAAATCTTTCAATGCTGTTGATGAAAAAGAGCATTGATAAAAAACAGGGCTGGGAAGGAACCTGTATCCTTGGGTGCCATTTCTGGGCCTTGACTGAGGAAGGAATTGTCCTTAGTCAGTGGCTGTGCTGCCTGCTCTGACTTAGCTGTCCGGTGGTGTCCCAGACTATCAGTTTGGTACACACTGCAAGGAGGGACCAGGGAAAAATACCCCCAGGTTGTTTTCACACCAGCTGGAGTCTCCTGTCAGACTTTCCTGTGTCAGGAAGATTGAGGCAGAAGAGGGATAAATAGGCTCCTGGGAGGTTTGGGATGGAGATTCTCATAATCTTGTTCAGCATGATTGAAGCTGCAGCCTGTATATCGATCTATACACTAAATGAAGTCATTGTGCATCCTCTGGACTCATGCCCTGAACCTAGGTTTCAATCTGCTCTCTGATTTCTTTCATCTGTGGTGGTGCCTTGGACTCTTAGTTAAATAGGTTCATGTCAAAGGAAAGTGGGGGGAAGAACAGATTTCTTGTCTACTTTGGTAGGATTTCTGGCAACAACTTCAGGGGGAACAAGTGTTTTCCAGTATTTTTCAGTGTGCTTTGAAGGCAGTTCAGTGATACCAGTCTAGAGCTGTCCCACTCTCAAGACACATGTTGTTTTAAAGTACTCATAAGTGCTTGGTATGTTGTATATTTTTTTTTTTTATTTTTTTCTCCTCTCAACAGATGCTGCTAGCCCAGCTAGCCCAGCCCCAGTCCCCACAGCAGAAGTTGGTGTTTCCCAGGAGGAGGAGCAGGTGTTTGAACCAGCTGATACTTTGCCCTCCCGGAGCGAGGCGGCCGCGGTGCAGCCCGTCATTGGCATCAGTCAGAGGGTACAGATGAACTCCAGAGAAAAGAAGGACTTGGGGACACTAGGTACAAAGCCAGGATCGTTTGATGGATGCATTCCTGTAATTGTAGCAGGACAGACATGTTTTGAGGCTCTGAAAGCAGCATTATAGCTGGATCTGCCACCTCTGAATTTTGGCTCTTATTTTTCTCTTTTCACAGGTTATGTGCTGGGGCTGATCATGATGGTGATAATCATTGCCATTGGGGCTGGCATTGTTGTGGGATACATCTATAAGAGGTGAGTGGCTGTTCTTTGTTCAAAAGCTGGTGTATATAGAGCAGGAATGTCTGAGCACCTGCACACCCAACCAGATCACAAGGAAATGGGACAGAAGTGTATATTTGATTGTGGTGCATTAAGCAAGTTTGTCACACTGAGGAAAGAACTACCGAAGAGTTAACTCTGTTCTTCTCCATTCCCCCATTATTGTGATGTTCTATCTCACTTGAAGTTTCAAATCGCCCTATTTAATATTTGGGGTTTTGTGTGTGCATGTGCACCTTGATGTGGCTTTTTCAGATGTACTCAGGAGCAGGATTTTGTGAGAACTGGAAGGAGAGATCTCAGGTGCCCTCACAGGAAGTTTGTTTTGCTCAGAAAAAGAACAATTCTTCTAGCAGGCCACCTGTTCCCCTGATTTCTGTAGTCTATCTTTATAAGAAAAACAATGGACAGGTTTTTTTGCTACTCATGCATTGTATCCTATGAAGCTGACTGTCAGGTAGCACTGGTTTTTTTGGTCCAAGTTCATTTTAGCAAAGTTCCTCTATACTTTAAGGTCAGTTTTGATTTTGACTTCAGTTACTTTTTTTTCAGTCACTTCACTGTGTGGGACAGAAATGTTTCTGTAGCTCAGCAGTGTTTGAGGTAGTGGCAGTAGCAAGCTTAGTTGTAAGAGAGAGGGCAGGATTAACAAATAGCAGTGATTGTCACTGCAGCAAGCAACGGCCCAGGCTCCCTCCTCTGGGAGGGTTTGTTCTATGTTTTGGCTGTTTGACAACAGTCTGACACAACCAAGCAGAAGGAGCCCTTTCCCAAGCTGGGACATGTCCTTATGTAAGTGTTTATAATAAATGCTGACAGAAAAAAAGCAGAGGGAGGAGTGTTACATAAGGGGCAAAACACAGAGTGCCACTTGTCGAGGAATCTGATTTGAGGTGTCACTTCAGAGAATGCTGTCTTGTGTGCTGGCAGGAATGGCAGCCACTGCTGCACGTTTGTAGGCAGCTTTGAACAGCAGCCAGAATGCCAACAGGAAGCCCCAGCAGCTCTGCCTGCCTGAGATCACGAGTGGTGCCTGTCCCACCTCTCTCCCGTCCTCAGTGGGAGGAAGCAATAGACCAGTGCTGGGCTTTGGCCAAAGGCAGCTTTGCTTCTCCAGTCACAGAGAGCTCACAGCAGGGATCTTCTGCAGGTTTACTGTCTCCTTCCTTGCCTTGATCTCAGAATTGCATGTGCAAGCTGGCAGGTTTGGGTAGTAGGAGTGGTGAGAAACCTTTAATGGGTTTAGTAGTTTTTGGTATACATAGCTCTTCTGGAGACAACATGCTATTAATGCCAAATCCATTTTTAAAGCAAGGCAGCTCTTCCACAGCACAAATTACAGAGGTGTTCCTTCACTTAGCAACAGGCTGGAGACTGAGGTAGGTTTGAGGAGCTGGTTGTGGCATTGAGCTGTTAGAGCTGCAGTGGCAGAAGGCAGGGCCGGCTCTGAAGTCAGCTTTAATACTTTCTGGACAGCTTAATTTGCTGCAACAAAAGGCAGAAGCTGTCATCAACTCCAGTATTTGTTCCAGATGAAGCAGGTTACAGAAGCTCTTTTCCACAGCAGTGGCCTCTGCACTGTCTCACTCCTCCCCTGGGCCTGCACCAGGCAGCGCTGTGGGACTGGAAAGGATAAGGAAACATATGGCAGCTCTGTGGTTTGAAGGAGGGGCTTGGCTGTACAGTCATTTATCAGCAGCAATGTCAGTGAATAAGCCAGTTTGAGGGAGGGACAGACCACTTGGCTGCTTGTTTTTTAGAGATGCTCAGCTGTGGTCCTCTGCTTACAGTAGGGAATATTTCTGGCCCTTTGTATGCAGCTGAAACCACTTAAATCCTAAAGAGCACAGTCCCTTCTTCTCTACTCCATCAGCTCTACTGAGACTCTCCCTCCAAGCAGCAGCACTCACCCCACGTGTGTATTTTGGTTTTTGTTGTAATGCAGGGGGAAGGACCTGAAGGAGAAGCACGAGCAGAAGGTGTATGAGCGGGAGATGCAGCGCATCACGCTGCCCCTGTCGGCGTTCAGCAACCCCGCGTGCGAGCTGGTGGATGAGAACACCATCGTGGTGCAGCCCAGCCAGACGCCCGTGGAGGACCCCCGGGATGGCAGCGGCCCCCTCATGGGCCAGGCAGGGACTCCTGGGGCCTGAGCAGCTCAGGCAGGAGCGCTACAGGCTGAGCAAAGCCTCCAGCTTCCCACTGTGAGTGCAGGGGGTGCGTGTGTTCATTTCTGTTTTGTTTTCCTTTTGATGAACGCCGGACGAAGGTGATGCAGAGGAACAGAGCAATGGGCAATTCATCATCTGCTTGAGGGGCACCGTTCAGTGCATGACCAGCTGGGGACTGGTGTGGTGGACCCTGCTGCTTCTTCCCACCTGTCTCCATGGTGTGCCAAGGAGCTGGGGGGGATGATGGGCCAGGCTTAACTGGCCACAGATCCTGTAGCCTGGAGTGTGGTCGTGGCTTCCTCTTTCTGCGTTCTTTTCCTATTTAATGGTGTGCACTGTTACTTAAGTTTCAGCCTGGAACCTCAGGAGAGAACAGTACTGCAGGGACTGAGGGGAGCTTCATGTCAGATTTAGCTAGATAATTACACTGATTATAGTTCCTGCCTTTTTGCTTTAGTGGCTGACAGCTGGAATCACTGTCCAGAATCCTGCTACTGGATCAGGTTTTTTTCCAAGGAAGAGCTTGTTTAAGGGATGTCTTTGGCCAGAAGCAGAATGTTTAGACCCAGTGCTCTCCTCAAGCTCTTGACAAATCCAGGTCTTCCAGGGCTGAGGCCAATTCTCCATTCCCCTGTGGTGCTACATGCACAGCCACAGTTGTAGGTGTCCAGGGGGTCTGTCTGTGCCTCCTGCTCACTTGCACAGATCAGTAAAGCAAAGGTGAGTGGTAGATAGTTGTGGAGTGAAGAAAACAAACTGCTCTTCAGTTACTTACAGCAGGTGAAACACTGAGGATAGAGAACATCCTCTTTTGAACTCCCTAGGCTTCCTACAGAGCCAGTGCTGGACAGAGTGGCCAAGCTGTGGAGGTCACCCTGATCACAGAGCAGCAGCTCTGGCTCTCAGGGCAGAACAGGGCAGCTGTTTTGTAAGATACTGAAGTTCTGTGTGGCTCCTGGTCCAGCCTTTGTCACACACTCAGCTTGTGCAGCAAGACTACTTAAAGAGCCTGGTCCTATTAGAGAGGTTTTGTAACAACTTTTATTAGCATTTCAGGGGTTTTGGAAGGGATGGTTGCTGCAGTGTCTCCCTCGTGGCACCAAGGCAAGGCCAGTTCAGGGAAACAGCTGTCCCTGCTTCAGGGGATTCAAGCCATTCAAGTAAGTTTTCCAGCCATCTGCTTTAGAGCTGTGGGCCTAACAGGGAGCAGCACTTGGCAGCAGGGGTTTTAGTGTTAATGTTTGATTCAGAAAAGGGAAATATTTTATTTTTAAATGCCTTTGAATACCATTTCTTTGTAAAATGTTTTAAATACCTCATTATGAGAAGGTGCAGACTGTGCTACCTTATATTAAAGCTTAAAAGAAGAATGCTCTGTAGATCTATGTGGACTGTGGCTCATCTGTGCATTCCTCCTGCCAGAGCAGCATCCTTTGCAGTGTTTCAGACTTTGAACTGAGGAGAAGGGAAGATGCCACTTCAGTTTGCCAGGCCCAAAAGTAAATCCCTCCAAGAAGTGCCTGCATGCAGCAGCATTGACAAGGGGCATGAAGCTTGTCTCCCTGCTCCAGCAGCTCCTCTTGGACTGGGACACTGTTCCTGAAAAGCAGCTGTGGGTGACTCAGCAGGCTGGCCCATGGGAACCACTCTTGCTTACAGCCCCTTCCTGCACTGCCCTGGCTCAGTTCTGCTTTGGTGCTGCTCTGCAGCAGCTCCATCCCTTGAGAAGTGCAATGGAGACAGAGCACAGCAGGTTATAGAGGAACTAACAGTGCCAGCATTTTTGTTCAGTTGTTGTCTAAACAAAAGTCCCCTGAACTACATATTTCAGAATAAGATGTTTCCAAGAACAGGTTGCATTTTTATCCCTGGATTAGAAAAGGAAAATGGAGAGGCTCTTAGATCTGCTGACTCCTGTCCACCCTTGAAACCAACCAAGGACTGAACAGAACTTGTTCCCTTTCCCTCACTCCAGGTAAATAGTCCTACAGAGGACTGCACTGTGATTCTGCAGTTCTGTGAACGTGGCCTTAGAAAAGGCTGTTCTGGATGGTACCTAATCTGGGCAGCTTTGGTGTTGCCATTTTGTGACTGCAATAGAAACCCGAGAAAGTGACGGCTTCCGGCTTTATTGAACACAGAGACCACAAAATCAGCATAGTTACTGCTCTTTAATTTAGTTAGAACGTGGAGCTGTGCAAATCACAGTTCATAAACCCCACCCACACATCACCCAGGACTCTCCCTTCAGGGGTCCCCTCACAAACCAGCCTGGGAGGGGGAACGAAAGGGCAAATCCTATTAACAATCCTGGATCCACTGGACCCAGTTTAGAGAGGCTCCTGCCTGACTCTCAGCACAGGGAGGCCCTAGTGTTTCTAAAACACCACTACACAGACTAAAAACACCCCCCTTGCATACCTGATGTCAGGTGATGGCTGGTCCCATGTTATTGTACATAATACTTTAAACTCATGGGTAGGGGAGGAAACCAAAGTAACAGCAAAGACTAACACCCATTCCCCACCATTCAATGCTGAAGGGAGGAGGAGGGGAAAAGGAGCACACTAAAATCCAGTTAAACCATGATGTTTGTGAGACTTAGAGCAGAACTTGATTCAGCTTTTTGTTCAGTTCTGCCAACCACGTGAGCTACTGCAGCAGTAGCTTCCTTCCTTCCTTCTCCCACCAAGGGAGGAAGAAGAGAAGTACTGGAAGAAAATACAGCCCTACCCACCTCCCAGTGACTCCAAGCCCTTTCCCCCCACCCCAGAGCAGGGAATGACCCTGAGGAAAATTTCTGTTTGGAGAATCAGCTCAGGTGCTGCAGCAGCAGCTGCACAAAGGACCTTCAAAGGAGCAACTTGGACAATCTGCAGGAAAGGATGAGGTAGTGGCAACTGAATTATTAGTTCTCAGCTGCCACTCCAGGGAGGATGGGACATTCTCCAGCACTTTTCTATTCATGACAAGCCCATCCTTTAATTAACCTTGGGCAAGTCCCCTTTTGCCATTGTCCATGCCCAAGGTCTGAGCCACTTCAAACATTTGGCTTTCTGACAAGCACCTTCTGCCGCCATTCCTGTCACCTCACATCCACAGGCCAAGAGCTCAAGCACTCAGGAATGTCCACACCCAGTGCCTAGTGCAGAACTACACATTCAGGTTCAAATACTTTCACCTAGGTTAAGGTTTTGGGCAGGCAAACTCACTGCAGGCGCAGGGTCTGAAAATGCTCCAGTGGCTCATTTGCTGCCTGCCTCATCTGCCATCAGGAGGGGCAAGCAGAGCTCAGTCTTAGTGTTTCTAGGCAGTCTTAGTGTTTCTAGGCAGGCTTTTGGAGGTATTCAGAGACACAGAAGGAATAAAAGCCCACAAAACCAAAACAAGAATTCAGATGTGCTTCCCCAGAGACACGGTATTCAGGAGAGCTGCCCAATTCCTGGGGCTTTTTACTCCTTCCTCTGCTGCGTGTCAGAGGCCAAAATCTCAGTGGGTTGTTCTGGGAAACACATGCAAATACATACACGTGCTGTCCTGGTGAGACATGTCGCTGGATGTCCAATTTCCCCAGCTTTCTGGGCAGGGCAGTCAGTGGGAGAAGCTGTTCCAGAAGTTGGTCCTTACCCAGGAGAGTCTCCTATAGCAATTCCCTCCCTGGCACACAGGCCAGGGTGGCTTCACAGCTTGCAGCCAAGTTCTAAGGCACCACAGTAAAGAAGCCTGAAAAGGCCAGAGAAATATTTCTCAAGCCAGAAAAATAGTGTTCAGCGGCTTTCCTAGGTGCAGCTGGCAGGAAACAATCCTTTTTGCTTCTGAAACGTGCCAGGAATCCACAGTGAATCAGGATATCCAGGAGGAGGGGAGCTGGGTGGGGAGAGAGAGGCAGTGCAGCAGATGCACAGCGTGGTGCCCCGTTAATGCCCTGGAAGTGGCTGAAGTGCATCTCCCTCCCTGCTGCTCAGCCCAGCTCCATCCTCCACCACTCAGTGAAGTGGTGCAGGCAGCAGGAGCAGCCTAGGTTGTGTTTTCAGGTAGCTTGTCACGGGTCAGTCCATACTGCACACTCACATTGTGGTCCAGCTCCTCCAGCTCAGATGGAAGGGGGATGGCAAGTTCTCCCAGGTACAGAGAGAGAGCTTCAAAGGAATCTTCCAGCTTGGAAAAAGGGGGCCTAGAAGCAGCAGTGAGAAAACATGAGTAGGAAGGAGGAAGCAGAACAGCATTGGAAAGGCTGAGCTATTTATCCATCCAGGTCCCTGTACCATGTACAGAGTGATGAACAGGGCCAGGATTTCCTCCCCATTCAGCTTCCAAGACTGCAAAGCCCTCATCTGTCTGAGCCACCCATTTTTATAGCCAGTCAGTGACCAGGGAGGTCTGGCTCTTTGGAACCTACAGCAACACTGTTCTGAAGCTACAAATTTCATAACTGAAATCAAATGAAGTATTTACTTTACTGTCAAAGTCTGCCCCTGCTCTTTGTAGCTGAGAAATCCTGAACAATCATTCCTTCTTTACTGTCTTGGAATTGTGTCAGACATCTCCACCATACAGCAGTGTCTCTCCCAAACTGTTGACTGAAGCCTCTCACTCATGGAAGCCTTTGAGCATTCCCAGAGCTGCCCTCTGTGCAGAGCAGTCCTTGCACTATGGGAACACAGACACATCCTGCAGCTTCCAAAGAGTCCTCCAGGCCCCAAACCTACCTGCTCTCTGGTTCCAGTCTGCAGCAAATAGCAGCCAGAGGGAAAAAGGCTGGAGGACAATCAGCAGGAACAAACTTCTCCCAGAACAGCTTGACATTAAGGCCAAAATCCAGTGTGCGTGGGAGACAGTCTGGGTCAGCATAAACCTGGCCTATGATCTAGAGAAAGTGAGAGAAGCACTTAGGTACTGCAATAGATCAGGCAGGGGCTCCTTCAGAGTATTATGGTGGAAATGAAACAACAGAAAACTGTTCTTCCTTCCAATGGAGCCATGAGCTCGTGGCACTGTGTACAGACAAACTTCACTGGAAACTTTTTCAAGACCTGGTGATGTGTCCACAGCTGTGGAGGAAGTCCCAGATGCCTGCTCCTCCTGCCCAGGGTCTCTGCCAGCAGACACAGCATGATGTGCCCCTCTCAGGGAGCTGCACAGTGTCTTTGCAGCTGGGGATGATGCAGCCCCTCCTGACTGCAGGCAATCAAGGCAACCTGCACCACCA